AGTCTTTTCTGGTGAGAGTGGACTCCAAGATTGTTTTCTTGAGAGAACCTTGCAGGGCAGTAGGGAGGCAGTGGTCACGTTGCTACAGGAGCACACCTTCTCCCAGTTATTCAGGCAAACGCTACTCTACTCTAGGAGGAGCTGAAAAGGGGTTTTTACACATGTGGTCTCTAATCAGTTGATTTAATGGTAAGCAAAAAAGAGATTGTTGTGGGTGAGCCTGACCTGGGGACTTCCCTGAGGAGAGACTCAACAGCAGCGGCCATCGCACTCACTTTTTGGTCTATTTTCTTTGGATTGCCAAGTGCAGATAAGCTGCAGCTCGAGACTGGAGAGGTCCAGTCTGCCATAGACCTTCACTGCCTACCTGCCTGATCTAGACTCTGGCCTTGCTTAGCCAGTCCCCATAATTGCATTGGTCAGTTCCTCATAATAAATCTGTTAATATTAACTGTGCCTCCTACGGGTTCCCCTTCTCTAGTTGAACCTTGATTGAATGATGGATTTAATAAATTAACTGAGTATGAAAACTTCATTGTTATGGCTTCATATACCACAGAGCAACTAGCTCTTAGAAACCTCCACATGTCAAGCTTTGAAGTGGTATCAAAGAATATTGCAATTATGTGGTAAAGGTTATTAGAAATACTTCTTCCTTTCTGAACCCCATGAATATTTCTAACATGGTAAATACTGATAGAATGATTACATAAATAAAAGCTCTTTGAGGGTGTCATTTTTTTATATGGGATCAAAAATTTTGAGAGCTATATACTTAAGAATGGTGTAGCTGACCATAGGATATAACTTGATGTTTAAGAAAAAAGTAAGCCGGGTATGGTGATGTACCCCTGTAATCCCAGCAGCTCAGAGGCTGAGGCAGGAGGATTGAGAGTTCAAAGCCAACCTTAGCAAAAGCGAGGCTCTCAGCAAAAGCAAGGCGCTAAGCAACTCAGTGAGACTCTGTCATTAAATAAAATACAACATAGGGCTGGGATGTGTCTCAGTGGTCAAGTGCCCCTGAGTTCAATTCCTGGGAAACCCCTCTCCCCCTTAAAAAAAGAGAAAAATAAACATAACCACCAGCCATGAATAAGAATTTCTGTTGTTCTGCAACCTTATCAAATCTTGGTGTGGTTGGTTTATTTTATTATTATTATTATTGTTATTTATTTTGCCAGTGGAATGTAATGGTATCTTCTGGTGCATTACTCTGCACTTCTCGGAGGAGGCTGGATACTTTTCTATATGTTTTTTGGGTCAACTTAGTATCTCATTGAAGTACCTGCTTGTCAAGTCTTTTTCTCACTTTTCTATTGTGCTGTCATTAGTTTTGATTTATAGAATTGCTTTATACATTTGGAATATGGGTCCTTTATTATGTATTTTAAATACATAAATAAATTTTCTTCTACACTTTTTCCTCTATTTTTTTTTACACCAAATATATTTAAAATAAAAAATAGTTGACTCTGTCAATCTTTGCTTTATCTTTGGTATTTTTTTGTGCCTTGTATAAAGACTTTATTTTCTACTCCTAGATTTTGAAGACATTGTGTGTGTGTGTGTGTGTGTGTGTGTGTGTTGAGTTGAGGTCTTGGTGACCTGGACTGGTCTCCAACTCCTGAGATCCATTGGTCCTCTGTCTCAGCATTTCAAGTAGCTGGGACTGTAGGCACGTGCCACTACACCCAGCTGATCCTATAGTATCTATTTTATTGTTTATGAAATATTGATTTTGATTAATTTTGTCAAATATTGATTTTATCATTTATTAGGATTAACTTTGACTTGGATTTTTGTATGAAGAAGGGATCTGTTTATTTCCGCCTGTGGATACTCAGCATTCCGAACAGCACCACTTAAAAAGAGTGTTCTTTGCCCTCTGACATGTATGGGTGGGTCTGTTTCTGGATCACTCTGTCTGGATCTGTTCTCTTCCTTCATCAGTGTACTTGTCCAACTCACTGTCTTAATCTCTTAATCTTAGTAATGGACCTTGAATTCTGCTCTGCTCTTTTGTTCTTCAAAGAGTGCCTTGGGCATTCTTGGTCATCTTCTTTTCCATGTAACTTTTAGATTCAGTTTATCAAGTCACTCGATTTTTGTCATTCAGCTTGTCAAAAGAAAATTGCATATATCTACATGACTTCTATTCAGATGGTTATGAATACATAGATGATCAACTGGGGAAGATTGACACCTTTGTACTATTGAGGCCTTCAACCCAGGAGCATGAGATTACTTTCCACATACAATTAAGTTGTCATTAACTTGATATTTCCCTTAGGGTTCTTATACTTATTTTGTTAGATTTTTCTCCCTGTCCTAATATTCCCAACTGTTTATTTCTATTGTAAATTGTGTTTTTATGTTTTTTTAAACTGCTGCCATTATATTGGAATACAATTTGACATCTGGCCACCTTGTTTAAACAAATATTTGCTAAAGGTTATCTGTCAGCTTTTCTGGATTTTCTTTATATTTAACCATGTCTTCTATGTGTCATACTCCAATGGCAGTTTTATTTCATCCTCCTCAAAACTTTTAAAATTTCCTTCTTCTTGCCTTATTTTACTGGTTGTACAATATTCTATTAAAGTGGTTGCAGCAAGCAGTTGTGGGTTTACTAAATTTGAAAGGAAAGCTTTAGCATTTTACCGTTTATAGTGTTTGCTGGAAGTTCATTATAGATATACTTTGTCACAAAGTTCTTGTTTATTTTCTCATCCAGGAAACTTGAAAATCGTAAATGACTATTCAATTTTATTAGATTCATTTACTACATTTAATGTTAGTCATATAGTTTTTTTTTTGGTATATAAGCTAATAATATAATGAATCACATTAAGTAATTTTCTTATGTTAAATTAACCTCTATTCCTGGAATAAACCCACATAGTCATGTTGTACTATTTTTTTTTGTATATTTTGTATCTATATTATTCAATAAGATGATCATAATATTTACATATATTTGAAACCATCTCATTAAGTGTATTCAACTTTTAGAATACTAAAAAAATTTTCAATGTGATATTTTAATATGTATACATTATAGAATGATTAAATTGAGTTAATTAACATATCCCCATCACTTCACATGTTTATCTGTTTTATGGTGCAAATACTTGAAAATTACCATCAACAAATTTGAAATATACAATATATTATTTTTATTAACTGTAGCTACAAGCTGTGCAGCAAATCTCAAAACATATGCCTTCTAACTGAAATTTTCATCCTTTGCCCAATATCTGCCAATCCCCCCTCATGTGGTAACCACAGTTCCATAGTTCTAATATTTACATTTATGAGTTTGCCTTTTCTAGATTTCACATAAATGAGATAACAGAATTTTTCTGTGCTTGGCTTGTTTTGCTTAGCATAATGTCCTCCAGATTCATCCACATTGACAAAATGGCAGAATTCCCTTCCCCTTAAAGCCCAGTAGTCTTCCATTGTGCCTACAAATCACATTTTCTTTGTTCATTCATCTGTTGGTGGACACTTAGGTTGGTTCTGTGTTATGGTATTTTAAATAGTGCTTCCATGAACACGGGAATGCAGATACGTCTTTAACGTGTTTATTTGAATTCCTCTGGATATATAGACCGTAGGTAGTTCTATATTTGTTTTTTTGAGGAATATCTCTAGTGTTTTCCACAATGGCAACAGAATTTATATTCCTATCAACAATGTACAAGAGTTTCCTTTCTCTAAATTCTTGGCGCAGGTACTTGTTATCTTCTTTGTCTTTTGATTATAGCCTTTTTAGGTGTGTACAATTTAAAAATTGTGAAGTAAAGGGAAACTCAGGAAGTTACCTCTGTCCTTAGTAAAGCCTCTTGCCTTAAAGTCTGGTTTCTTTTATATTCAGTAACATGACCTCATCAGGCTTTATTTTAGAAAGGATTTGCATGATAAGCTTTTTTTTGTTTGTTTGTTTCAGAACTTATCTGCTGAGTCTAGTCTGAAAACTTACCTTTTAACTGAAGCTTTAGTCCTATTATATTTTAGAAATTAATAATAGGTTGTACTTAAAAGCAGTGTCAAAAGTCATGCTTTTAAATTGAGTTGCCTTTTTTTCTTATTAAGAGTTTGGGCTACACATCTCTAAAGGCCCTACTTTTCATTTTCCATTGATTTTTCTTTTTTCTTTCTAGTAACAGGTACCTTGTTTTTTTAAAGTCTGGGTATTTTCTGGTTATAGTTTTGGCATTGATTTCTGGCCTATCTTGTGTTTGAAAAACATGTGAAACAAACATGTTTTCTGCAGGTGGTACTGTAGGGTCCTGATGTACATTAGGATTAGGTGAGTTTGTTTTCCTTGTTCAGATCTTCCATATCTTTATTGAGCTTTTATCTGTTTGTTCTAATGATTACATAGAGAGCTTCTGTTAAATTTCCCTCTAAAATTATTGATCTGTCGTTTTCCTCTGTATTTATCAGTGTATGTATATATTTCAAAATCCTCTCATATCTCTGCTTAGTTGTTGGGCTGGGTGAGCTGGGGAAGCCTTAACATAGCAGAGCTTCCTGGTTTCTGTGATTTGGGGAACTGAACCAGCTCTAGTCACATAGATGATCTACAATTTGGACTTCAAATGAACCAGTTTAGATGAAAGGACACGTGGATACATTTGAGAAGGCTGAGTAGCTTAGAGCCTGTGGTTTCTCTCAATCTTCGTGGTCCAGACAGTTAATCTTGTTCTGTGATTGACAACACTGTCTGCCCACTGTGTGCCATTTAGTAATATAACCCCTGTTAGGGCAACAGCAATCCGAATTCCCACCTTATTCTGTTAATAAAAGGACTTCCTTTTTTTCCCAGTCATTGTACCCAATGCTGTTGACTCCTATCTTTCCTAGATGTAATCCTCTCAAGTAGAGGCCAATGTCAACAGCTTTACTTGGTGAATGATAGAATGATTCCTTTTGAACACAGGAATGATTTTCATTCAGAAACCTTATAAGTTATATTTCTCTTTTATCCTCAGTTATTTGAAGGTTTAAAGGCATTTCGAGGCGTAGATAATAAAATTCGACTGTTTCGGCCAGAACTCAACATGGAGAGAATGTGTAAGTCTGCTGTGAGAGCCACTTTGCCGGTACGTAAATTTAGAAGTGTTTTTTAACTCCATGGGTCACTTGAGTTTAATCACCACGCAAAATCATTTCTGCATGATTATGTGAATATTCATTACAAATCATATGAACGTTGAAGTTATTTATGATTAATCATTGAGGTAAAAATATAAGGACATAGGCAATAGCATTTGACGAGGTAACAATATTTCTGCTTCTTTATGAAGGGCTGTGGGGGATTCATATGTATATATGAAAGATGAAAGGATAAGGAAAAAAAAACATGTTTTAAGCTAAAATAAAATTTAAAGACCACATGAAATTATGGTATTGAAAATGGAAAATACAGAATGCAGCAGTTATTTGGGTGATGTTTGACCTAACTGCTTTAGACACCAGCAAATATACAGTTATGTAACTCATTATATTATTCCAAGTTTTGTTTTAGAGAAAAGAAAACAAGAATATCAAATCAAAAATGGTTTCTCATGGCCCTTGTATCCTGGCCAAAATATTGTCATGGAGCAGAGTTTAGTTTAAAATGCATTCAATTTAGACACTAAGGTACTCATAAAGTAGGAGGTGACAGATGGCTTCCGTGACCAGGTCGCTTTTCTGAACTGAAAGAATCTCCCCTCCTTGACACATCTGCAGGTCTAACCTGGAGGAGCTGGGCCCAAGCTGTGTGCGGAGGAAGTCTGAGAACAGTGAAAGCCAAGTAGCCCCTCTTTTTGCACCAGGCCTTTGCTACCTTTGCTTGGTTGTATAACCCTGGCTTTCCTCACCTCCTTTAGAAGCCATAGTATAGTAGCACCAAGAAATTTAAAGTACAGTCTTGGACTAGATCCCAATTTTGCTCTTCTTCCCATTACAGCTAGGTCACTGGGAAGAAAGCGTAGTATCATTCTCTGCCGCCAATGGTGTTATGTGGCTTCACTTTTCCATATCTGTCAATCATAACAATAAGCCATTGTCAAGAAGACCTTTATAGTAAAATTTAGGGTAGCACCTTTGCACAGAGAAGAAAACTCAGGCCCAGAGAGTTTGAGTGACTTGACCAGTGTCACACACCAGGACAGGGAAAAAAATTAGATCCAGTTTTTTTGACTCCTAGTCAGATTTTCTTTTCACTAAATTCACTACATTTTATCTCTAGAGAGCAGTATCGGAGATCTAAGCAGGTGATACATCTCCATGATGGGAACTCAGTTTCTGTAACATTGTCAAACCCTGATTGTTGTTCAAAATTAGTGTTTAAATAGGCAAATCCTAGTGTCATGATCTTGTTTCTGATGCATTTCCACCATGGGTAACCCATCATCTCTCTGAAAGCATGTTTCTCTGCCCCGCAATGGAGTAACTCCTTATTGTTTTACAAACTCTCACCCATCTGGGATATGAAAAACCCTTTCTCCTTGGAAGTAAGAGCTCTTTGCCTTTGCCCATTTTCCTGTTGGATTATCTGTCTCTCTCTTTCTGATGTTCAGGACAGCTGGACCCATTTTGACTATAATCCTTTGTTGGAAATGTTACCAATTTCATCAATTATGTTGTTTTTTTAATCTTTTGAAGATCAAAGGTTCTTAAAATTTGAAATAGGTACATTTATTGATTTTTTTTTTCTTAATGATTTGTATTTACATCTCTCTCTCTCTCTCTTTTTTTTTTCTTTGTACCAAGAATTGAACCTGGGGTGCTTCACCACTGAACCACATCCCCGGCTCTTTTTTATCTTTTATTTTGAGACAAGGTTTCACTAAGTTGTTAAGGGCCTCACTGCTGTTAGGATCCTCTTGCCTCAGCCTCCTGAGTCACTGGTATTACAGGCATGTGCCACCATCCTGGCTACTTTACATCTCTTAGTTAAAAATATTTACTTTTCTTTCTTTTATAGCTTTATTTTATTCATTTATTTTTATGTGGTGCTGAGGGTTGAACCCAGGGCCACACACGTGCTAGGCAAGCGCTCTACCACTGAGCTACAACCCCAGCCCAAATAGTTACTTTTCTTAAGGTCATAGATATTCTCTATTTTTAAATAAAAGCCTTAATATTTTGTCACATTTAAGTATAAAATCCCGTTTCAGTGAATTTAAGGGTAAGGTAAAAGGTAGAGAGCTAATCTTTTTATATTTTATTTTTTTCATGCCAGGGATTGAATCCACAGGCCCTTAAGCACTGAGCCACATCCCCAGGGAGACAGGATCTCACAAACTTGCTTAGGACCTTGCCATTGCTGAGACTGGCTTTGAACTTGCCATCCTCTTGCCTCAGCCTCCCAAGCCACTGGGATTATAGGTGTGCACCACCGGGCCCAGTGGGATGTAATTTCTTCTCTTTCCTATATGAATAGTTAATTCAACCACATTTTTTTGGGGAAAAATATTACAGAAAAAATATTTTTTGTTTGGGTTTGTTATGATTACTTTTTATTTTGTTATTTTGTTTTTGAGAATAAAGACAATTACATTTCTTTAGAGCTAATTAGGACAGTAATCTTGAAAAACAGATTCAAGTAGTCTTGAAAATATATTCCTATACTACCTTTCGGAGTGCCCGTGAGGACTATTTCTCTTTGGCATGTTGGGAGAAGGCCATTTATTGGGTTTTTCATTCTTTCAGGTGTTTGACAAGGAAGAGCTTCTGGAGTGTATTCAGCAGCTTGTGCAGTTGGATCAAGAATGGGTGCCCTACTCCACCTCTGGCAGTCTCTACATTCGTCCCACGTTTATTGGAACTGAGGTACAGGTTGACTTCCTGTTTGGGAGTATTTTGGTGGGCAAGTTAGCATCGATTGTTCTTGCTTGAAATCTTCAGTCCTTAGCTAGAAAAAGCACCTATAATTGCTCCTTTCTCCCGATGGTCAAGACGAGATAGCAGACATTTTCTGTGAAAGGTCAGTAAACAGTTCAGGCGCTGGGAGCCATGTGGCTTCTGTCACAATTACTCCATTCTCATTGAAGTACTAAAACAGCCATAGACAAGACACAAATCAGCCAGTGAATGAGAAAAGAGCAATGCTGTTTGCCCTCCCCCATCAAGACCAATCATCATTTCCCAAGTGCACGAGTGTGATGCCTGCCATCATGGCGGCATTGCTCTAAGGTGGAGTAGCAGTGCTGGTTCAGAAATTTGGAGAGGGAGAGCTCCTAATGTTTATTTTTATTTTCCTGAAGTCTTTGGACTTCTTGGTAAGGACTCAGAATAGAAGGTCCTCTTCCAAATAGAAAATGCTGAAAATAGAGTTCACAAGGAGCTGGAATGGCAGGATTGAACAATGTGGCCTTAAGATCACTTGATAGGTCACAGTCTTCCATGTTACATGGGGTTTATGGTGGCTTCTGTCATCTCACTGTCTTTACAGAATGATTGTAGGCACACTTCTGTCAGTTATGTGATTTCGCCCTAAAAGGGCGAAAAGACTAAAAAGTCTTTTCTGCTGCTGGTCTTCATGTTTTTCTTTCATGTTGTTTTCATGTTTAGATTAGCTGATTAACTAGGCCTTATGTCCCAAAGGCATTTGGATTTCTTCAAATGAGCATGTGTGTGTGTGTGTGTGTGTGTGTAATTCATTAGGAGATATAGGGACTAGGGGTGTAGCTCAGTGGTAGAGTGCTTGCCTGGCATGTGCAAGGCCCTGGGTTCCATCCCCAGCACAATCAAAAAAGAGGCACCCATAGAGAGGAGAGAGGAGAGCCTCCTAGTTGATCAGATGTGTCCAATTGTATTCTCTGGTGTGGCAGTCACTTTTTTGATAGAATACTCAGTATTCCACAATAGACACGTAAGGGTCCCAGCCAAGACATAAATAATCAAAATCTGTGGAGACTCTGTAATTTGACACACTCTGCAATTCTTCTTAACTACTTTCAAGAGTGTCACTATCTCAGATCTTGTTAAGGCATCACATGCATATGTATCTGGTGGTCTTAAAGCTTTATTTACTCTAAAGATTGTAAGCTGGCAGCAAGGTGGAAATATTTATAAGTTGAGAGCCGACCTTCATTGAGAGGAGGGTGTTAAGTTCACACTCATGGGCCATGATGTGCCAGTCCTGTATTACTTATCACTTCTCATGCTCAGTAAGATTCAGTAGCTACCATGTACATGCTCTGTTGGTAACTTATAAATTTCATTGTATTTGCAAAGGGCGCTTCACATCTTCACATTCTTTATAATTAACTTTTAATTGTCTTCACAGGTATGTACCTTTTATACCAATGTTTTTGTGAAATTTTTAACGTGAAAAATAATTAAATCCATTACTAAATCCTTTTATATTTAAGATAATATTAAACAGAAGAGTATAATATTGGAAAACATGTTTAACTTATTATTAACATACAACTTGTGAGTAGGAATTAGTAAAAAATATGAGGCCACCAGTGGGTGATAATTTTTGGGGGAAATTTGTTAAATTCCCATTCAAACACAATGTTAAACCTTAATGCACAAGTTAAAACACAAAATTAGCAACATGAATTATATAGTATCTGTGTAGCATGCAAATATATAAATACATATAGTTTATTGGACATATTATACATGAAAGTTTTATGAAAAGTTTGGAGAATAAAATCATTTGCATTGCCAAAGATTTCTCATATTAACAAGAACTTCAGGGACTGGGGATATGGCTCAGAAGCAGAGCACTTGCTTATCACAGCAAGACCCTGGGTTCAATCCCCAGTAAGACATACACACATGCAAAAAAAAAAAAAAAAAAACTTCAGTATCATTTTAATTAAAATCTTCTGAAGTGTTTATTTGTAGGTTATTAAAAACTTGTCTTTTGTATAGCTCTACAAGGAAATGTTTTGTAATTTGATTTCATTATTAAGATCTAGTACTTGGCAGCCATAGTTTAGGTAATATTATTTAGTACTATTTGCTTGCATGCTAACAATTGAAGCTTTTGTAGAACCCACATAATGAATATATTTCTGAGGCATTTGAGCATCAAAGCAAGTGCTGTGGCAATACCTGTGTAAACTGAGAAGATTTCAATAAGAAAAACTTGTAAATATCAGTTCTACACACCCTGAAAGTTCTTGTTTTCCCTGTTTTCTGGGTCATTGAATGGGACATTTGTTGTTCCAAAAGTAACTGGCAGCATGATGGACCTGCAGTGTACCTTATAATATTAAAGCAAGGTTTTTATTATAAAACAAATAAAATTGTTCAATTAAAAAAAAAAAACAAACTTAAGTGAGAAATTAATAGTTAAGAGTGCTTCAGACTCTTGCTGATTATGTACCAATTTTAAATTAAGGTAAAATCTGAAATCATAACATTCATTTATTTATGTATTTGTAGTGCTGTGGACCGAGGGCAACACCTCTGCCACTGAGCTATGCCCAGAGACTCTACAATAAAAATATTTAAATGAGGAATATGTACATGAATGATTTTAGTTTATCAGACAAGAAGTTAAAATTATGACTTTCAGGTTTATTTTAGTACTAGAAGCCTCAGAAACCTACATCCAAAGAAGCAAGTTTTGCTGTTTTAAGCCACCCATTTTCTCTAATGCAGGCTCAGCAGTGTGAATGCACACACATGGGTACACATATAGGCTTCATAGGATTGTGGTCTCAATAGTGAAAATACTTCCAGCCACAGACTCTAAAATCCTTTTTCATTTTCCACTTTTTTCATTGTATCTCTGTCCTGTTTCATGGTACTCTGTATTTGAAAGGTGGTGGAATAAGAGAACAGAGAGAGAAAATCACTGAATTATATAATTTATACCTAAATTATATCAGGGCTGAGAAGTAGCCAATAAGAAGGGGGTAGAGTTAGGTCTAGGGACAGCCCCACAGTAGTTAGCACCCAGCACCTTTAATCAGGCTGCAGGCTGGTTACTACAGATCTGTCTGCAAGCTACCAGCAAATTTGCCCTTATCAAAACAGGTGTTCTCAAAGACAGGCTGATCTTGGCTGATATGAAAGTTGTTTGATTCTTCATATTCATTTAACTTCAGAGTCCTGAATTTGGATTGTCTCTAAATAAATTTCTGGTTGAGCTCAGCTACAGATCAGTTTGTGTTTGGATGCACAGACTACAGAATACAATTTGAATAATGCAGAACAACCTTTTAATCATCTCACATGAGCTGTTTCTCTGTTCAGCATTTCCTGGGAAATCTTTCAGTATGAAATTGTCATTAGAGTTCACATTTTAAAATCCCCCTGCCATTTTTGAAGTGGCTGAAGAAAGGCTAGAGATCAAATTCATCAGTCCCAAACAGGTCACTCTATTTGTGGTTCACTCCACAGGGAGCATAAGGACATGCACATTTCACAGATGCATTTTTTTTTAAATCACCTTGTAAAATCTGTATATTGTCCATACAGTTTTACCTATAGTGATATCAATTCTAATTGAAAGAATTCCCTTTGTTCACTGCCTCTTTTTTTTTAATGTTTTTACATCATATTTTTTCCCTTCACAATTTCTTTCTAGTTAGCACAGCAGTTGTTTATCATCATCAACTTGTGTATTTTCTGCACTTTTACACATCCAGCTCCTGTGAGAAATAATGTATATTTAGAATTAACCTGCTAGCTCAGTTTGAATGATCCCAATTTTGTTGGCAACACCCAAAGCATCATAGTCAAGAGCCAGTCATAAGCCTTCTCCTCTCCATCAGGTCTGATCAGCATATTGACTGTGGCCACATCAGTGTCATAGAGCATCCTCACAGCCTGTCTGATCTGATGCTCTTCTGTCTTCTTCATGGTCGACTCAGTGGTCAGAGGGAACCGGATGATGGCATAGTGGTCAAGCTTGTTTCTCCTGCAGTGTCTTGCGCCGCTGGAGGGGGATGACAGAAGAGGTGGATCTTCTTTTTGTGGCTGTGGACTTCTTTCAGCTCTGCCTCCTTGGCCTTTGAAGTCTTTGCTTTGGCTTCAGCTTGGGAAGGCCGGGAGCTTCCTGTTTTTGCTTTTAGTGCATGTCCCTGTTTTAGTTCCTTTCTGTGTAATTAGTTTTTGGTACCAAATCATCCTGTAACTTTTTGAAGATCCACTAGAAGGATGAACTGCATGAACTGCTATGAGCAAGGCTGGCTGTGACAACTTTGCTCCACTGCTTAGCCAACAGCAGTACCAAAATGCTGAGTCCACATCTCAGACATGTTAAGAGTGAAAATAGATAGACATCTTAGAATCTGAAATATGATAGCAAAGTTTATTTAGCTGATTTTCTGTGGATCTACTATTATGTTCATGTAACAAATAGAAGTGTTAGTGCTAAAATGAGTAAAGCAGGAAAATTAAATTTAGAAAGCCTATACTTAAAGTCTATATTTATATTATAGATATACCCTAGTGTGTATAAAGAGATTCAGTGATATTTTTTGCAGCTCATATGATTTGCTGATATATTGGATGTGAACGTGAGAGAAGAGAGGTCAAGTTTTTCTTATGGACCTTACCAACAGGATTCTAACCGTTTATTGGGACAGGAAAGACGGATGATTTTTGTTCATTGGAGTGATGATGGTTTGAATTTAGGGTGCAGAAACCTAAGCCAGTGATTTCATATAGGTACTTGGTGTGCAAGTCCATTATTCCTGGGAGAATTTGGAATTTGAATGATATACTCTAGTCTTTAGAATAAAAAGTATTTTTAAGACAGGACCCTGGTGAAGTCTTTATGGGAATAACTGGAGAAAGAGATGCAGACAAGGGAAGGATTAGGCTGTGGGCAGGTGTTTAGGACAAAAGGAGGAGCAGCT